TGGTTCTTATGAATGGGAAGATCATAGATCAGTCAGAGCTTACAAAGGAACAGATGGTGGAGCAGCTTTCTGTTTCAGTGCTTGTGACGATGATGAAACCAGTGGTTACACTCCTGTATGTTTAAAAAGCTTCTATTATATCATTCATTCATCATCATGCAACTAAGCACACATACCTCTCTGTATGTTAACTGGATCATTTGGCGCTGTTTCAGGTATTCACGGGGAAGAACACAGGAGCCATGACTTATAGCTTTATAAAGGCGGTGAAGACCGCTGGACCAGCCCCCACATATGGCCACCTGCTTAACCTTATGTGTTCTGCAATACGAGAGGCCCAGTCTCGTCTCGCCTTTAACGGGGACTACGCAAGCTCTGATGCATCCGCGGTAAGTTATAACAAAACTTGTATTGTCTGAAACTTTGTATTCTGAATGATTGAATATTGTATGTCCGAGTTGCTTGCAGGAGCCACTGCTAACATCATCTGATGAATTCGACTTGTACGCGACAAAGTTTGTACTCTGAAATGCTGTACATATGTATATTGCTTATTCTGCAAATTGCTCGGAAACGTTTTCCACATATACACCTACTTTTTCTACCTGTATGTATCATGTAATGATGATGTCTGCAGCAAAACTTGTAAAAGCTGCATAGCCTCTCTCTTCTTACGAGCAATAAAGCTATGAAATGATTGATTCGCTAAGAAATTTAATATGAAACTAAGATGTGTGGGAAGTTTCACTGGAAACAAACAACCATAAGAAGTATACTTAATTCAATACCAAGGTCTGTTGGTAAAAAGAGGAATGGATTACACATGATGGACACCATTTTTCTAGTTGAAAACAACACAAGATATACACAAAGGGTACCTTATTACCTTAGATGAGACTATTCTCATCCGATTCCAAAAGCAGTAAAGTTTATGGTTGCTCATGATTTGAGGCTGCACTGCATCATGTAGTAGCATTGTTGAACTTTTGGAGGATCAGAGCCTGAGCTTCTTCCACAAGACTTTTCACTACCTCTCCAGCCGGTAAAATCTCCTTGATAAGGCCTACGCTTTGGCCTGCATACATAGCCATACTCTCTAAGTCGCCCGTTGTCGTCATGTTTGGTACTGTTCCTGAAAATCTTCTTATCTCCTTTTCCTATAGTGAATGTGTAACTCCCTTATTCATAAGTGCAAGACCATATTTTTTGGAGGATAAAGAAATCTCATTAAAAAGAAATATGCAAATGACACAACTTACAACGCCATGTATGGTGGAACGTCCAATAACAGGTTGATTAACTTCATTCTCACCAGCCGGAAGAGACCTCCAGTCATCAAAGAAAGGTGTCTCCAGAACACGTTGAGGCGCACCAGGCCACCTTGCTCTTCCAAACACATCTGTGTATTCTGTTTTTTCATATTCAACCAACTTCCTTTTGTATATTGGGTGTGCATAGCTTTCATGAGTCGCCACAAATCTAAGAAAACGAAGATTCTAAACTCAGCCCAACAAAAAGGCTAACATCAAACTTGAGAACATGTGGAAAGAAAGAAGAGCACACCTTGTGCCTAGACAGACCCCTTGAGCACCAAGTGACAAGGCTGCGACATAACCGCGTGCATCCACAATTCCTCCGGCAGCGATAACGGGAATATCGCGTTCCCCAACTAAATCCACCACTCTTGGCAACAATGAAAAGAGACCATCCTTGCCAATAACATGCCCACCTGCTTCATGCCCTTGGACAATAATGGCGTCTACTCCTACAGCAACAGCCTTTCTAGCTTCTTCGACATTCCCCACCTTTCAAAAATCAACTAAGGAATAAATATAAGACAAGTTCCTTCCTTGTTGTAAAACATACAAAATTATTTACCTGAGGAACAACTTTGAGACCGGCACGGTGAGCATCATCCACAAGCTCCTGTGAACAATCACCCCAATAAAGCTGCAAGACAGCAACTTCCTCTTCTAGGATTGCCTTAATGTTCAAATCATGAGGAAACGCAAGAACAACACCGATCCCAAATGGTTTGTCTGTCAATGTCTTTGTCTTTCTTATAAGCTCTCTCAAGTAATCAGGACACTCCTGATTCATGAAAACAAACATTCTATAAAAAAAAAGTATCAAAGAGAATGATGTCAATTTTTTTATAAACTTGCAAATTACCCAATCAGGACATCTGAGAAGACCAATCCCTCCGGCATTAGCGACTGCGGCTACAAGCTCTGGTCCGGAGATATCTGGTCCTAATGGCGCCTGAACTATCCCGTGTTCAAACCCTAGAATCCCTTTCATGATTTCACTTTCCTCTGCTATAAATCTCTCTCAGTGTTCTCATCTTCGTTTTATACCCAAAAAAAAAAAAAAAACAGAGTCGTAATCGAATTTTTACTTGGCTTTCCTTTTGTTTTTTTTCTATATGAAAATTATAATTTTGTTTCGATCTTCTAAGCGATGACGAACACATTGCGAAGCTTTTCGTCACATACTACATCACTCCACTCTATATAAAAATGGTTTCTCGAGACTTCATTGATCCTCTAAACTCTTCGATACGTTCGCAAAGGATGTTCGAATAATTTTTCCCAGGAAAATTCATTGATCATCTTCTGGTTTTTGTCAGATCGTCGTTATGAAACATTGAAACTAATTTTATTGGGCTTGTGATTGAAACTAATGGGCTGGGATAATAAAAGCCCGTTATGTTGCTCGGATGGCTGACGTCACACTGGGGATTTAAATATGCAACGCATTAGCACCGAATTGTACCAGAAAAATTGATACGAACAAACAAACAAAGCGGAAATCGGAGGAGACCATTTGCATCCGGTTACTAAGTTTATAATAAATTTGAACATTTTTCAAAAAAAAAGTACAAACTCTAGCCAAACTGAAAATCAATATACTTCTAAAAATTGGTATATCAATTAGTCTGATATACAACAACACTTTTTTTTTTTTTACTTCTTATGAAATTCACATACTAAACATAAAATATAGGGAAGATTCCGAGAAAGTGGACTTTTTAGTCTTAGGTGTTAAGTGTGATATATGACAAGTATGGTCGTATAATGGGGCCAATACATTATCGCCATATCAGTAGAGATAAAGGATGTTCAAGATGTGGTGTAGAAGAAGAATCAATCAACCACCTGATCTTTGAATGTCCTCCTGCTAGACAAGTCTGGGCTCTCTCCAACATCCCATCTTCCCCAACGCTGTTTCCCTTGGCGTCACTCTACAATAACTTAGATTATCTGTATTGGCGGGGTAAAGAGGTGGGGGCGGATGAAGAGAGCCTAAGAGTATTCCCATGGATGATGTGGTATATTTGGAAGGCGCACAATCGAAAGATTTTTGAGAATTTAAGTGTCCCACCTCAGGAAACGCTAGATCTTGCAACTCAGGAGGAAGGCGCGTGGAGGCGAGCAAATCAGAGAGAAGACCCCCATGTTGGTAACTAGTACGCATGAGTCGTCATCTCCTGAGGATAGCCCGGTTTGCTATATTGATGGATCTTGGCTCGGGACGGAGACTAGGAGTGGACACGGGTGGCTTGTTTATCAAGGAGGACGACTGCTACACTTGGGATTAAAAGGCTCGCGTAGAAGTCTTTCTCCCCTTCATGCGGAACTTGATACTCTTTTATGGACGATGAAGTGCTTATTGGCAATCCCATTGACGAGCATCCTCATTCAGACGGATTGTTCTGACCTATTGGCTATGACTGGTGCTCCTGAAGAGTGGCCTACGTTTTCTACAGAATCGAAAGACTTTGCATATTACAGGGATCGTTTTACTACTTTCAGTCTTAAGCATATCCCTCGTAGTGGTAATACCTCCGCCGATTATCTTGCGAAATGTGCAAGAAATCGCGGGTTCTGTTTTTTCCATGTAAATTCGACGGTCCCTGATTGGCTCTCTCTAGAAAAGAGTCCTATTACGTGAATTAATATATGGTGCCTGATTGAAAAAAAAAAAAAAAAAAAAAAAAAGGCCAATACATACATGCACGTAGGGTTGGTCTCGTGACCAAATCAACATGAAAAACTGGTCGGTCGGTCCACGGCAATATATGCGCTAAGTTCGTCACAAGATTGGATTAAGGGATTATTACGGATTTTGCCCTTTTTTAACATTTAAAAATGTACATATTTATGATTTTTTTTTGCAAAAATACGTACATTATACCAAATACTAAATTCTAAGAACAAATGAAACCGACTAAACCCAAACATAACGAATAAAACGCATGTTAAATCATATTTTTGAAGCCTAAAAAAGGGCAAAATCCATAAACTATTCAAAAAAGGGCAAAATCCATAAATGCCATTATAAAAAGGGCAAAATCTGTAATTAATTCTTGGATTAATTAAGTTGTCAAAAAAAAAAAAATTGGATTAATTAATAAAAGCTAATCATAATCCCAATTAAAATATTAACTTGTTGATCGTTTTGTATCTATCGTTTGCAAAGATTACATATGAAGTTAGTATCTTCATCATTTGGTTAAGTAGATTTAGCTAAGCTTATATTACTTAGATTTAGGCATTTAGCTAAGCTAAAAAAAAAAAAAAAGGAAGATAAGTTTTTAATACGCGAAATAAGATTGTGTGGTTTAATTTAAGAATTAAGCATGTATATATGGAGTTTATGCTCAAAAAAAAAAAGATTGTATATATGGAGTATTATTTCGGAAATTAATGGAACATTGGTTATTCATATCTCACTTTCTAAGTCTAGGAAACAAAATATTACACAGTATCGTAAGTTTGGCATACGTCCACTTCAATATGTACAGATAATAGTAATTATTTACGAGCTAGGAGTGTAGGACTATCATTATCATCTTTCCTATACGTCGAGTGATATAAAAGACAAACAAAAAAAATTGACCTTTTTCGTTTGAAATTGTTCATATAAACCCAAATTCGGGGTTGAAATTATTATGCTTAATTATTGCTTTGTCATTTTCACTATTGAGCATGCTATTTCCGTACAAAAAGTATATCATTGCCTTCACAAAAACTGGTGCAATACATAATTAAAAACTTGTTTTTTCTTGCAAACAAGTAAAAGTTTTCTTATTTTAAAAGATCCATAGTCAGACACTCGAATGTAGAACTAGAAACAATATAACCTTTCTACGTTGATTTTAAACTAACTTGATCCGTGGTCAGGTCACTCCAGTTAATTACTTTCTAAAATATTTTGATTTAGCCCACTCTATAAAACATTCATTTTTTCTTCCTGAAACTAAACCGATTTATAATTTCTTTGTTGAAAATACTTTTTTATAAACTAATTCATAAAATTGGAAAAAAAAACTAATTCATAAACATGGATTGATATGTTCGACTTTATTCTTACTAATCTTGTTTTCCAATGGATACAAACTTTATTTTCCATATTACCTAGAAAATAACATTGAGAACTACGATAAACAAGACGAGCCAAAGTGGGTCGGCACACAAAATCCCTCCAGAGCCGTCTGGAGTTTCACATGGCTACAAGCTGAGAAAAAAAAAGGCCACATAA